TCTCTCTCTCTCTCTCTCTCTCTCTCTCTCTCTCTCTCTCTCTCTCTTTCTCAGTTCCTCCGGCGATCGTAACAAAGGGACGCCTAGATGGAAAAAAATTCCAGGACTTCCCGACATTTTCTTCTCTCTGTATTTTTTTTATTCTTTTCTCGCGGAGAGGAGAAATCTTTTGGAACTTGACTGGCCGGGTGCCGGTGGTACCAGAAGCACTTTATAGTCTCGGTACGCGCGCGGCACATACGTGGGCTCCCGCTGGCCGATGCGCTCTCTCGGCGCCATGTTTGTTTTTCAGTTGTTAAGCGCGCAGCGGGCCGCCAGACAGGTTTAAATCAGCCTCCACCTCTCTCCGTTTCTCCTCTTCTTCCTCCTCTTTCTCTTCCTCTGCCGATTCTCTCTTCCAGCACCACCCGCCGCCTCCCGTCCTCTTTCGCGCTCCACGATCGGGCCGTATGCACCACTCGGCCCGTGAGTCAGTCCGACCGGGTAACAAATTGCTTTTTGTTTGAACGGACAAATTAGTGATACGGCCGCGCCGGCACGGCAGAGGTGCCGGCCGAAAAGACAGGCGGTAGAAGGGAAAAAGGAGGGACACGCGATGTTTATTTAAACATCGTGGGGGCACCGTGAGTGCAGTTTCGCGCACGGGGGACATCCTCCTCCGTGACCCTACGTGGGTGTCGGCCGGATATCTCGTGTTCGAGGCTTCGGCTCTTTCTCTCGATCACGACGATAAACTGGCGACTCCGATTTTTTTAGCGATTCGACCGACTCGTTACGACATATCTCGAAGCTTATTGTAATTTTCATTATACTTTCATTATAGCCCTCTAGTTTTTCTATCCCTATGCTAATCTTCGCTTGATATTTTAGTAACATTTATACAGGATATTATTATTTAACAGAAAAAAACAGTTTCTTCTTAACCGGATTGATACTTTGCTGTCGCCAAGATCTCAGAAGCCTCTTGTCAATGCTATTATAAGCTCTTTACTCTTTATTTGTGTTTGCTCAATCATCTAAAAAAATCTTTTTTTTGCCCTCGATCGTGAAACGATCGAGTACGACGGCACACGCGCGCTTGTCCTCCTTTTTTCTCTCTTTTCTCTCGCAATGTCGATCGTTAGTGTCGCAGCGCTAATCGGCCAGCGTAACGCTCTGTTTGAAAAGGTTCTTTGAGGCTGCTGTTGATTTTTCTGGGCGCTAAACGTTCGACGCGCCTCTCCCCGGACGAAACGGACCGAAGAGAGATGGCTGCGCCGGCGGACCACGCACGAGAGTCTGATCTTTTTTTTCGGGAATGACCCGAAAAAGAACGCTCTCGCTGCACGCTTCGTCCTCCGTGAACCACTCGAGTTCACTTTGCACCTCCCGTTCCATTTCGCCCGTCGCCGGAAGTGCTACGTCCAAATACGCGTTTTTCCTCCTCTCTCTCTCTCTCTCTCTCTCTCTCTGTATCTCTCTTTCTCTTCCATGGACTCTCGCGCGCACGTGCTCCTCGTAAAAACGACCGCGATATTAGTTACACGTCTACGAGCCTTTAAAGTTCCTTCCAAAGCCCAAAGATGTATCCTCGGCGCTAAGTGTTAGTGTCCGTACGATTCTCGTCGCCTATTGACACTGTGAACATCTTTTTCACATTGGGCAAATAAAACTCAAGCGTAGACGACCGTTTAACGTTAAAACGTGCGTTAATAATACGAACTGTTCCAAATCGATTTTTCAAACATTCCGAATTCCGCTTATCGGCGATCTCTCCCTCATTCAATCCTGACAAGTTTCCCGTTCGGAATCTGCGTCTCGCACGCTCCGCAGATCGATCGGACGGACGACAAGATTTGTCCATTGCCTGACGGTCGTAGATGACGAAAAACGATGTTCGATTTCCCCGGGTCGAGGAATTCACGTTTCACGTGGTTGTCCTCACTGTGCGAGAGAATGCGTCAACATACACGCGAAATGGGGAATCCTCTTAGGCTGGTCTCCAGGTTGATCCGCTTTCCCGAGCTATTCTTACCGAAAGAAGTTGCGTCGCCCGAAAGCAAGATTGATAAAAACGAGAATTTTCTCACGACTCACTCTAATCAGTTTTCTCGAGCATAGGGATTAGCGCGCCTCTCACGCACGCCATTACCTTCGATCATACGTGACAGGAAATTTATTTCCGAGGATGAATAATTTTCCCGGGAAGATCCAGGTCCAATTAGCCGCCCTCGTCATATTAACAAACAAAAAAGCAACGCTTCTCACGCGGTGATGAGCGGAGAACAATGCGAAATTATTTATTTCCAATTGAATACATTTTGATTTTAACAAATATATCGGCCATTTAAAAGGCATTTAAACATCTACGTAATTCTTAATTAAGCATAGAGATCAAAAGATTACTTGCATTTTAATCGCACGTAGGGGAAAAAAAACGATCGTGACCATACTTTGTGGAGATATTCTTCCGTCGTTTTAATCAATCTTCTCCGGTCGGCATTAATATCCCGAACACGATAAGTACGCGCCTTTATAACTGATAGCGGGGTGGTTATTAATATACAAGTAAACGGAATTAGCTCAGACTATTTGAACAAGCCGACAGAGGGAGGACAGGCTCGGAGCGAAAAGATGCTTTGATGCTGTCGGTGAGGGTCAAAACTCGTATAAAGGGCCGAAGATATGGGCTATGCTCTATCGCCATATTATATATTCTATCTCGATGCCCTCCCGACCACGACGACTTTGGATGAAAGATGCGGGGAAACGTACCCACTGGAATTAATTAAGCGTCCTTCTCGCTGACCCCGTAGCTTACTTCGCATTGATTTAAATCCCGCTCCAAGCTTTTAGCTTAATTTTTAGTACGAACCGGAGAGAAAGAGAATTTATGAGTATCTGTAATTTTGACTTTTTATAAAATCATGTTAAATATTATTCTTCTTAACCTTCGAAAAGTACATAAAACTTATCGAATTTGCCATATCGAAATATCGATAAGTAAGATCTTAAGAAAAATAGAGCGAAAGAAGAAATCGGGAAAGTTTCCGTTGAAATTCCAAGCCACTTAGGAAAGACTAACGACGGCGCGCTTTGATTTCGTTCTCGCCACTTTACTTCAAGCTAATTTCCATGCTTAAGAAGTCGTAATCCGATCATGACCGTCGAAATGAAGAAGTTTTCCCTCACCCTTTGAGAATATCGACTTGCACTTGGCTGAAATTCGATAAAGTCGCGCGACTCGCGAGAATTCAACGGATGGAAAAACATTCTCCGGTCTGGCTGTTTCCACATTGCAGCGAGAGCGGCGCGTTTCGATATCTTTCGATATTTCCACGGGGGGTCAATCGTCGAGTCGGATTTCTACCGGTAACGACTCTGAAATCGGATAGATTTTCGTCTCGCCCGTTTCGCCCGGAATTTATTCTATGAATAGGAAAACGGGATGCGATGCGATCGCGCGCGCACGTTTAATAGGAAGGCGAGAAACACAGAGGCCATTGGTCCATTGAGAGTAACGGTCTCTTCCTTCCACGAGCGTCCGTCGTGTCGGTCGTAGTCGAAGGCGAACGCTGGTGGCTCTCCGCCGCGTCGGGAGATCTTGCCGTTCTTTTTATTCAAAAAAATTTATCGTCATCCTATTGCGAGTGGAATTCGTTTTCTAACGTCACGATCGATTGCAAGAGATGCAGAGAGAGAGAGAGAGAGAGGCTCGACATTTAGAAAGTCTAATAAACAAGATTGGAACAAATTTTAGGAAATACTGTTCTCTGTGTACTTTTATGTGTAACGTCTCATTAAAAGTAAATTATTGAAGACCCGAAGGCGTACATCGTGGAAGGGTTTCTGAGGACATTGGGAGAGAATCCACTGGTAATAGGTTTCAAATAGATGCGCCGAAAGATTTATCTTCTTAAAGATAGAAAAAGCTGATAGTTGTAATTCTAGACTTAATTCCCGACGATCTTTAGATTCTCGATCGATTATAATTTGGAAACAAACTCGAAAAAAATCTACTGATTTGCGGCTAAAATATTATCCGCAGTTTCGAATTGTCGATTGACAACTTGCGATTACAGACATGTTACATAAGTGGCGATCTGCGTAGTGAGAGCGAACGAATGACGTAAAGTTCAGTGAACCGCACAACGATACCTTCATAATACAATAATAATGGTGATACTCCGACATTTGGATGAACAGCAATATCTACCTTCATATAAAGTATTCGGGAACTTGCCCGCCGAAAAAAGAACGCCTTCTCACTTCCGTCGGATGCTCATGGTATCCGAGTTCATTTTGCAGCTGATGAAACGTGGCTGATCGCGGTCGCAGTTCCGACGAAAAGACCTGCCCGCCACGGTTCGCACGTGGCACTCAGGCTTCTATCTGACCGTTTCATCTTCCGCTTCCTTCATCTTCATCCATCCTCGTCTTTCACCCCCCTTCTCGTCGTCTCCCTCTCCGGTAGCCGTCTCTCCTCCCGTTCTTCTTTTATTCTCCTCTTACCGGCTCCCCCTTCTCGTCGTCTC